TCCTAGCTCCATTACGAGTTCGCTTCTCTTCCCTAAACTGCAAATTCTAACAAAATAACATTATCAAGCACCTATTACCACCAGCACAGGCCAAGCTGAATACCTCACACCTACACCTGGGCCTCTTAACTAACCTACAAGGTAGGTAATAACACTCCCATTTTCCAGGGGTGAAGAGTGAGGCCAAGAGAGGTTAAGTGATCTGAACAAGGTCATACACAGAGAACAAGGCAGAAGCAGGAGCACACAGGGCCCAGGATGGCCACCCAGACTCTCACCTGAGACACACCTGGTTTACTTCTTGTATCACTTTGAAGAACAACTAAAATAAAACAGGCTCAGAAAAGTTGGGTAACTTGTCCAAGCTCCCCCAGCTGTATGTGTCAAGAGGATCATCTGAGCCTAGGTCTGTCTTCTCCATCTGGTCAACAGCATCTCCTTACTGTCAACCCCAGTGGGCTGAAACTGGCTCAGAGCCCCAGCCTCATCTCAGGGTCCTGTTAGCATTAGAGTGATTCAGCCAAGTGGGGAAGGTGAGTCTCTGGCTTTGGGGACAGACAACTGTCCTAGGCACTCAGGCGGTGGGTGGAGGAGGCTGATCCTTTGGCAATAAGACATAACCTGCAAGGTCCCTCAGAGATATCCATCCAGTCCCCAATCACAGATACAAAAACCAGGATCCAAAGAGGACAAGACCCATCTAAGGGCACATGATGAGAGGCTAAGAAGGGGCCAGACCAGGCTCCTGACCCTCCAGAAACTAAGGACCCAATACCATTCTGGAAAGACCCCATGTCTGCCTCATTTCTACTTCTTGGTTACAGGGAAGCTCACGTGTAGCAATGAACAGATGTGTAAGATCTTTGTTCTCTGACCCTCTCCGGCAAAGAACCAGATCCAGCAGAGGATGCTAAGTTCAAGGTGGCTGGGAGGGGAGAGGGGAGCTGTTTCCAAGAAAGTCCTTGAAATCACGTTTCCACCCACTGCTGTCCCCTCCCCCAAACTCTTGCACTCCCCCACATCATCATCATTGTTTCCATCCCATTTAGAGAGAGTGAACATTTCCTGGGATTCAATTTCTCTCATAATAGTTGGAAGGAAACAAAACTATTATGCTGTAAACATTCACTGCATTGTATGAAAAAATATCTTTATTACGGGAGAGACACCATAAACGCAGACCAACCTCCTCCCCGCAATCCAAACCCTAATGCCTCCATGCCTGTGCCCTCAAACATTTAAACATCTCACAGGCAGGAATCCAGAGCATTAAAATAAATATATTTTTAGCCATTGGGATGCAAAATTAAGATTGGTGAGATGTAAGTATCGACTCCTTCTCGGCAGTTTTCTCTCAATGAAAATAAGAGAGTTGCGTCCATTTTCTCTGAGCACGTGTTTAGGGATGACGGGGGCAAACTCATTAGTTCTGTCTGACATATACTCAATTCTCTTTACATACACAGGATGGTTTTTTTTTCTTTCTGTATTTTATTCTCCAGCTGTGAAATGATATTAAGTTTCATCAGATTTCAACAAAATCTATGGTCTTGAAACAGTTTCTTGTAAGGCCCCCCATATGTATTCAGAATTCATGAATCATGTTCTGATAACACAACCATAATTATTTTTAAAGTGTGATGTTTGTGGCTTTAATAGGAAATGCTCGCAAAAGGCCTTTTCTCTTTGATTGTTTGTAATCTTAGCAGTAATCACTGCTGTTACCTTCCCCACACCACAGCAGGCGAAACACGATTTCATTTTAATATGAATTGCAAGCTCTTCACCCAGGTTTTAATTAAAGCAATAAAAGCCTTGTCATCTTTGCCCTTTACAATGTACACAGACTCAGAGGCCAGAGTTACCAAGCCCAGAATCTCAGATTTCGATAAAGCAGGAGGGTCGCCTGCCTTCAATACATTTACTGGGGAGTGTTTTTGTTTGTTTCAAACAGCCTCAACCACCTCTGTCTCTCTGTGCTGCAGTTTCCTCATCTGTAAAAAGAGAACAGTAATAGTATCAGGGCAGTTAGAGAATGAAATGAGGCCAGCCATGGAAGACATTTAGCCCAGTGCCTAAGTCCAAGGAAGTGCACAGTAAATGTTAGTTTTCGGTATCAACATTATTTAGGGCTGGAAAAATGAACAGAACGTCCACCCTCATCATTCACATGCAGAAACAGATTCAGAGAGATATATATCAACTAGGTCCAGAGATGGGGTGGCAGAACCTTGAACTCAGAGCACCTGGTTCTTTTTCCCATTCCCAGCAGCCTACACTGCTCCCTGCTGGAAGGAGGCTATGCCGTTAAGGAGCTCAGTGCTCAAGGACTGCAGGTTTGAGCTCCCTCCACCACAGGCTGGCCAGTTCCCAGTCTTCCAGCCTCCTGGTTGTACCATCTCTCTACCTCAATCTACACCTCATCCAAGTGGTGAGAAAGACAGACTGGGCATCCTTGGGGCTCTGGGAAGGAAGGCTGCAAACAAAGTGGTGGAGCCAAGCGCAAGAATCGCAGATCTCAAAGCTCTCGTGTGTCTCTTGATGCCAGGTGTGGTGTGAGGTGCTGGGAGACCTCGATTTATGGCGTGGGGATGTTGGCCTTTATGATACGGTGGCTGTACTCCAGCTCATATCGGAACAGGGTGAGAGGGGGCAGGGCAGGGCAGCAGACAGTGCTCACATTTGGAGGTGTGCTCCACCCCTGAGGCCCAAGGGCGCCCCAGTGAATACCCCGAGAGTAAGTCTTCATGCCCTACTGTGCCTTTTCCCTTGCAAATGGCTCCTGGACTACTGGGATTCTCGCTCCAGAAACAACAAAGTCCCCATTTCCCAGTCTCGTCTTAGAACATGCCTTCCACTCGCCTCTGCTCAGTGGGGATCTTCCTTCTCCGCACGTTCTGCATATGAGCTGCCCACAACCCCATGCCCACCTGCTTCAGGTGGGAAGGTGGGATTGACATCCTCTCTCTCTACTGCCTCGTCCATCCAGACTCCTGTCCACTGTCCCGGTAAATGCCCCACCTCAGCCCCCTCAGCAGCCCATCCCCGGTGCTGTCCCCCTCCATGCTCCCAGCCTTCCACTCTGGGCTCTGGCTTCCTATATACCCCACCCCGGCATCGTCCTGGGTCCCCTCAGCTCAGTCACCAAGCTACACTGGGCTCTCGGCTCCTCACTTCCCAGGAGCTTCTCCTTCACACAGCCTCAGCTCCTACCCCCAACACACCAGGACACTGCCAATGCCACAGCCACCCACCTCCAAAATCACCAGCTCCTTCCGACTCTAGGAGGCCCCACCATCCAGATGCTCCCCAATGGCTCTTCTTGTTGCACTGAACTCTGAGCCCCAGGACCCTATCTCCTCTCCATGCCCAGCCTAGATTCCCTGGTCCTTCCCATCAACCTCTTTCTCTGTCTCTATCTAGTTCTCTCTTCCTCTCTCCCTCTCCTCCTCCCTCCACCCACTCCCAGTATGTCAGGGTCTCTCACTCTGTCGCCAGGCTGGAGTGCAGTGCCACGATCACAATTCACCACAACCTCTACCTCTGGGCTTAGGAAATCCTTACACCTCAGCTTCCTGAGTCACTGGGACTATAGGCACACACCACTATACCAAATAATTTTTAAAAATCTTTTTGTAGAGATGAGAGCTCACTATGTTTCCCATGCTGGTCTTGAACTACTGGGCATAAGCAATCTTCTTGCCTCGGCCTCCCAAAGTGCTGGGATTATAGGCATGAGCCACCATGCCCAACCTCAGTCCCTCTTTTGAGCAAAAAGTTGAAGTGCCCTTCTGGTGCACCTCCCTAGATGAGCCCACCTGCCTGTGCCCATAGCACTTGCACCAGGAGGTCATCCTCCCACCCTCTACAACAAATGCCCCAGACCTTCCATTCCCTCCTGAGACCCCCAGTGCCCTAACTCTCAGCCCAACTCTTTAAGAAGACAGATACCTTTAGGTACAGACACCCTGTGCTCCCAGCCAATCCATCTACAAAGTCGCACTCCCATTCTCTGCCCCTGCCCCCACACGTCCAGCTCAGGCCAGAGCCTCCACCTCTGGGCAGGACCCACCGCCTCCCACCATCTCTGAAAACTTAAAGCATCCAACAGCTTTTCCCTCTCCTGAATCCTGAGCATCACTCTCTCTCTCCTGACACCTTCCATCAATGATTAAACATTCTAAAGCCTCTCTCATCTTTAAAAAAAAAATCCCTCCTATGGAGTCTTCAAACTATTGGGCTAAGGCCCTGCCCCGTCCTGCACAGCACAACTTCTCACACAAGTCGACTGTATTTACTGTTTACACATCCTCACCTCACACTGCCTCCTCAGTCCACACATGTGATCTGCACACCCACTCTACACATCAACATGGCTTTTACTGAAATGTAGAATAACTTCCTTTTTGCTAAAACTATTGGACACATTCCACCCGATCCCTCAGAAGCATTTGACCTCACTGGCCCTTTCCTCTTCTTGTTTAAATTGTGTTTAACTTTTGGAAGTTATAATAAATGCCCACAGTTAAAGCCCCCTAAATAGAAAAAGATACAGTGAAGTCTCTCTTCTATCCCTGCCCACCACCTGCTCAATTCCCATAACACACACACATACACACACACACACACACACACACACCAATGTACAACGTCACTGTTACTAGTTTCCATATAGCCTTCTAAAGTTATTTTAGTCAAACAGAAGCACATAGAAACATACATTCTTATTACCTTTATGCATAAATGGTAAGATACTATATTCATATTTTTTTAAGCAAATAATGTATCTAAAGAATTTCTATGTCATTTTATTTATTTTTAAAGTAAATAAATTCAATAGGGGAAAATTTATTTTTAACTGCTTCACACATATGCAAAGAAAGAACCATGAGAAATGAGAAACAAAAATAAAAATATCCCTGGATAAAATCCACATGCACAGATGATTCAAAATGTTATAAATAACTCACATGAGGTAAAGCAAACATGCCAATATTTATATATCATTCTCTGAAGAAAGGACAAATTGTATTACTCAAGTTTCCTCAGCATATTAATAATAAAAGCTTGGTATATATTCTCAACAAGTCTGACCTGTGGCCAAAGAAATCCAAATTATTTTAAGTTGAGTTTGCTGCTTTTTCATCTGATTCATCATCCATAACCTCTTCTACACCTTCTACTTCGGGAATATAAAACTGTAGCATGTTCTGAATTCCAGTTTTCAAAGTAATGATTGAACTGGGGCAACTGGTACAAGAACCTTGAAGTTTCAGCTGTACGATGCCATCTTCAAAGCCTTTATAGATTACGTCTCCTCCATCTTCCTGCACAGTTGGCCATATTCTAGTATCTAACAATTCCTTAATCATTGCCACAACTTCATCATCTTCTTAAGATCCTGCTTCTCCCAAAGATGTTTCCTCAGTAACAAGGAGTAAGCCAGATGCAAAAAGTCCATGATTGTTGCATACATATCTGGTTTCAATAAATTCCAGTCTAATTCTTCATTTTCCTTTGTGACAGTAATAAAATCTGATCCAAAGAAGACACTTTTTACTCCTCCGATTCTAAATAATCGCCTTGCCAGAGGGGAGCGAAATGCTGCGGCTGGGGTGGGAAAATCCATGGTCCTTGCCTCAAGAACTGGCTTTCCTGGTATAAACTTTAAACTGTTGGGATTTGGGGTATCTTGTGTTTGAATAAACATGTGTCTCACTGTGCTACATAAGACTGCAGGTAGTAGGGAAAGTGGTCTTCGTACAAACTGATGCAGAGGCTGTTTCTTAATGCTGTATGGATTCTTCAACATATGACCGAATCTCAGGGCAAACCCCCACCTGCGGGGACGGGGGTCTGTCCCAACGGCTCTGTTCAATGCACTGCCCCTTGAGAGAGGGTCTGCGAGGTGGCGACCATACACCCAGCGGCACCCATATTCTGAGCTCCAGGCCAGTCACCTACCGCCTGCATAGCTCTGCAACAGAAGTCAAAGCTCCCCAGCCCCGTGGGGCTACGGCCGCCGCTATCTTAGTCCGAGAGCCTCTATGTCATTTTAGTTTCCTCTTTCTTTAGAGCTACATTTGAGAGGTGCATATAATTTATTTCACTAGTCCCATATTTTTGGATGTTTGGATTGTTTCCAATCTTTTGCTATTGTAAATAATATAAAAAATGAATTATCTCATTATTTCTCATGTGTGCAAATATATCTGTGGGATATATTTCCAAAAGAGAATTGCTGGGTTACAAGTCAATGCATTTGTAATTTTGATAGATGTTATCAATTTGCCCTCCGTGGGGGTTATACCGACTTACTCTCCTCACAGCAATGTACAAAAGTATCTGTTTCTCCACAAGAACTCTGACAGTGTGTTATCCAACCTTTGGACTTTTATCAATCTGATAGGTAAAAAATGGTTTTCTTATGATTAGTTTATCTTAAGAGATCTATTCTTAGCATCTTTTCATAAATTTAAGATCCACTTGTATTTCCTTTTTGTAAACTATCGATTCATATCTCCTTCTCTTTTTTCTACCACTGATTTCTAATAACTCTTTACATGTAAGGGTGATCAATCCTTCAGCTATGGTGTGAGTTGAAAATAATTTTTTTATCTTTTGATGTTACTTATGCCGGTTTGGTCATACAACAGTTTTGTGTGTGTTTTGTGTTCATTTTTATATTTATGCTAATTTAGTTTTATGTTAATTTATGGGCCAATTTTTAAGTATTTCCTTCTAAGGTTTCTAGTTATGCCTTCCCTGCTCCAAAGTTGTAAAGTATACCTTAAGGACTGTTTTGCTGGTGCCTTTATGGTTTCCTTGAGTACATTTAAATCTTTGATTTAAAACTTACCCTTTGATAAATTTTAAGGAGCTATGGATCCAGCAGTGTCTTCCCCAGGTCTCCCTCCCTCCTGCTTGAGACACTCAGCCCTGCCTTGTAAGACTCCATCTCTTCTCCTCCTTCTCAATCTATTTCAGTCTCCTCCTCTCCTTTGCCTTGCATGCTCCTTACTCTTAAAAGTTTGACTTTTAAGAGTAGCTGGTCCTCTGGTCTGCTCATTCTTCCCTCTCTCTCCATAAATCTCACTCTCAAGGTTTTCCTATCATGAGCTGGGGATTTCCAGACTTATCTCTGCCCTGAGCTCAAGACTTGTACAACCAGCTGCCTACCTGCACGTCTCCACTCGGTTGAGCATCTCATCAACTCTGCCCAACTCTGGCCTCGTCAAACCTGCTCCTCCACAGAAGTTCCCCATCTCAGAAAACGGTACCACCACACTGGACAATGAGCTCATGCTAGAAGCATTTCTCTCTCCCTCTACATCCATCATTGTCAAGACCACCAACTTTATTCGTAAAATGCATCTCAGAACCATCGACTTGTTTGCACCACCTCTGCCTCTATGACAGTCGAGGACAACATGGTCCCTTACGTGGCCTATGACCACACCCTCCCACATGGTCTCCCTGTGTCCACTCTTGCCACTGAGAGCTTTTAAAACTACAGACTTGATCGTGTCATTCGATCTCAATCTCCCCCCAACTCTCTCTGCCTGCCCCCCTACACACACACACACACACACACACACACACACACACACACACACACACACACATATACACACACACACACACACACACATACACACACACACACACAAATTCAACAATTCTTAGGGAAAATTCTGAGCTCTTTAGCAGAAAAGGTATTTAGAGCCATGAGAGTGAAAAACTCCATGCATAGTCAGGAAGGCTGTAATGAGGAGGTAACATTTACAGTGTCCCTGAAGGAACAAATAGGCATGTGCTGGGTAAAAATGACTAGGAAATTCCCATCAGAGGAAACAGTGCTTTCAAAGACACCACAGAGTTGTAAATGAGCACAAGAGGTGACCAAAGACTCATCTTGTGTGACCAAAGCATTATTTATGGTACACACACACACACACACACACACACACACACACACACACACTAGACATAAGTCATAGCAAGTTTTGGAACACCACTTTATGTACTCTGAGTCGAGATTCCCCTGGAGGGGAGCCTGAGTTGGGGATACCCATGAAAGCAACTTGGTGAAGAAGGCTCAGAAGGAGGGAGGAAGGGAAGCAGCACAGGACAGGAAGGGCTTGAGTAAGGATGTGTCTCTGCTGGAGTCTGGCTGGCATCAGCTGGAGCTCCTTAGGGAGTGGCAGAGTCAGTCGTCCCTTGAGAAAAGGGAACCAGCTTCTAGACCGTAGCCCCTCTTGGGTTCATAGTTCCCATCTGGCAGAGGCCGCTTTTCCAGAGAAAAGAAGCTATGAGTACCCAGCAGCCAACTCCCCCAGCAGCTGGACGGAGGGCAGGAACCTGGCGAGGCAGCAACAGAATCCACAACACACAGCTCCTAACACCCAGAAAGCTGCTCTTCCCATCTGATGGGAAGCTGACATCACTTGCACACAGGAATCTGACCCAGGCTGAAACATGGAAAAGCTGGGATTTGAATCCAGATCTACCAGTCCCACGCCCACCTCTTTTCCTCCCCACCTCAGCCCAGGAAGGAGGAGACTCTTCCTGGGTCACATAATCAGGAAATATCAATCCCTATAACTCCAAACAGGGTCTGCTCTCAACGGGGAGAAGGGCCCACCGGGCCCTGCACCCCAAAGCTGCTTAGGTGACTACAGACCTGACTGAGGACTATCTCATTCTCAAACCATCCACCCCCATCTGGCACAAAAGAAACACGGATGTGGTGATAATTTGCAGAAGCTAAGACAGCTATGCAAAAATTGTGTGGGAACTTGCAAAGAAATACAAACAATGGCTCATGCATTTGCAGAAGAAACTTCAAACCTGTAAGAGTTAGTTTGAACGTTTTTAAAAAGCGACACAGTCAGCTAATACATACCCCGTGGAAGCCTCTGTCTCAGCTGTGGTTTCTATGTACAGAAGATGGTGTTTCAGAAGTGTTACATTAAAGGGCAGGTTTGTAATGTGATAAAAATTGGACATTCTGGAAACAAATGCTTTCCAGAAATGGCTTCCCACTCATATCCACAGGCTTGCACACAATAGGTGCCCAATAAATACTTGCTGAGTGGGTGAACCTTGCATTTAACTATATTTCTAAAATGTATTGTATGTCATTTAGTGTGTACCCTTTGAATCCTGCAGTGGCTGTAAGGCCTTCACCTTGCCCACATGTGTACGGCAATCCCTAATCCAGTAATTGGGATAATACGTTCTAGCAGCTGAAGAGGCAACATGCGGGGAGAGGGTGTTCGTGTGTACAGGTGTGTGTGTGAGTTCCAGCAAGCACTCTAGGGAAAATACTGGAAGGAAATATACAGAACTCTCACCATTGAAGACTAACAGACAATAGACTCCCCCAAGCCATGGTTCTGGAAGACCCTAAGTTATTGGTTAGTAGAATCAGGATGAACTCAATCCCATATATTTCCTGCATGTAGTAGTTTGTAAAGACCACAACACTTTGCAGCCTCTCCCATTGAGAGGTAGAGTCTAATCCCCCATTCCTTGAATCTAGACTGGTCCAGTGACCAACAGAATGTTCTGGAAGTGGTCATGCACCTGTTTCAAGGCTAGGCCTCAAGAGAACTTGCAACTTCTTCTCTTGCTGCTCTGGGAGTCTTTCTCCCACCATGTGAACAATCTTGGACCAGCCTGCTGGAAGCTGAGAGACCACATGGAGCAGAAACAAGTCCCTCCTCCCACACCAACCAGCCCACAGCTGATCTGGCAGCTTATTGCTGGCACTGAAGTATCCCAGGCAAGACCAGAGGAGTCATCCAGCTGAACCCAGCCATCAGAATCATGCCCTGCCTAGATACATATTTGTTTTGAGCCACTAAGTTTTGAGGTGTATGTTATGCAGCAAAAACTGATACCCTATGAAGTCTAGATTACAGTTGCAAAATCTCCTCACATGGAGATTAACCTTGGAGAATCCTGATGTCATCTTCATATAGTCCTAAGTTAAGGAGGCCCTCTGGATGACAGCACAAGTGATTTGGAAGGACCTTGGAAAGTCCAACCTTGTTCCAGTATTAGGGAAACTGAAGCTCAGAGAAGAGAAGGGACCACATTCACTCATCCCACAAATATTCCCTGGTGTCTTTTATGTGCCAGAAACTGTGCTCCACTGGGGTAGATGGCAGTGAACAAGATAGACCAGATCCCCTCCCCATGGAGGTCGCAGTCTAGCATGGAAATCAGACACTAAGTCATCTCACAGATGGATGACCACAAACAGTGACAAACACTAAGAATCAAAATGCCCTAGTGCCATGAGAGAGAATCACGGGGAGGGGACCTAATTTGGATCTGGAGGTCACAGAGGGGAGGTGGCATTTAGGCATTTAGGCTGAAGCAAGTTGGCAGCCTTGGGGTGGTTCTCCACACACAGGGTCAGGAAAGCATGTGAAGCTTTGAGTCCCAGCTGTGCAGGTTCAAATGCCAGTTGCACTGCTCCCTGGCTGAGTCACCCTAGCTGAATGAATCAGCATCCTTGAGCCTCAGTGGCCTCATCTATAAAATGGGCTTACCAATAATGTCTACTCATTCTCACGGCTGTTGTAAAGATTGGCTGAAATAACCACTGAAGAAAGGGCTTTGCAAACTACAAAATGTTGGAGCTTAGTTAAGGGTGTTACTGTTAATGTTTGACATTTATTTGCCAAGTCTCCTCTCCAAAGGATTGTGCACCCCACTTCCCAGCCTAGAGCAGACACAGAGCCCCACTGAGTCCTACTTTCCCTTTTCAGTGGAAGAACAGTGCCAACAACTTTTCATCAGGGTTAAAACCAGAAGCAGCTTCACCGTAGTAAGGCTCTGAACATCAGGGCTCAATATGTGAACAATTGCAAACATTGTGAAAAGCTCAGATGAGATGTTCATGGTTAACCTCTGGTCTGTGGGGAGGACCACATTTCAAGCTGATTATGTACAATTAAATGACATCAGTGACCTCTTCCAAAATGCCCTCTCCCAGGATCCAGAGTTTTGCCCACCAGTCTTGCAAGTTGGTGCATGTCAATGCAATATAGAGGGAACATGGTGCGCCCATGGGGGCAAGGAGGAATGGGGCATGGTGTCCCCAACACAAGCACCCTGCTATGGCATGGGAGGGGGTGCAGCACCCTGCAGAGGAGCTTCCATGCCCACTGGGACTGCAGTGTCTTCCTCACTGGTGGTGCCCCCTAGGATCACAGACTCATGTCATACTCATCAACAGCCCCCACAGAACTTGTCACAGAATCGGGCACATACATGTTTTTGAGTTAATACGCTTCTGTTGTCCCCAGCTGGAAAAAATATGGACCCACCCAACTTTGCCATGGCCACCATGTTGGTAGAGACAAGAGGGTGAAGATCAGCTCCAGGGCCAAGCTGCTGTCCAGCTCCTGAAGTTGCTCAGCAACTATGAAACTCTTCAGCCCTTCATCCAAAACCCTGAGCCACTGCCACCTTGAAGGCATCATTGCCTTAGGGAACCATCCTCCATGATGCCATAACCTGCAGTGAGGACTCTCCCTGACACCACATTGACCCTTCCCAACTCCAACCCCAACCCTAATCCTAACCCCAGTGAAGACCCTCCCCCGGGTCCCAGCCTGCAGTGAGGACCCTCTCAGGCATCACATTCTCCAGGGAGGAACTTCCCTGGGCCCTCAATCTGCAGTGAGGACCCTCTGTGGCATCGCAGTCTGGAGTGAGGATGCTCCCAGTTGAGACAAACATTCATTTTCAGGGACCAGGTTCTCAGTGGAAAATCTGTGACCCCCAGAGAGCTGGGCTGGAGTTGGGACAGCCTTGCCCAGGGGTGACTCAGCCCCCTTGGCGACCAGCAAGCCTCTGTTCTCCCCCTTCCCCGCTGGGCCATGTGCACAGCCCCCGCAGTAGCCTTAGACAACACTGGATGAGCAGGAGAACCTACCATACCTGTGCACAGATGTGTGCGCATCCACACCAGAACATGCCCCCATGAATGCTGCGTGGTGCCAAGAGGCAGGCAGCACCAGGGAGCATAGGACACATCAATTCACTGCTGCTCAAAGGTTCCCCTGAGCATGGGAAGGTGGGCGACATACTTCAAGTACATCCTATTCCCAATGACATCCTTTCTAAGCCAGCAGTAGCCAGGTAGTTGATTTACAGAAAACACCACAGTCCCACTTTATTGTCCCTATGAAGGGGAATCAATGGGGATCCTCCATCACTTGGAGACAGGACAGTCATAGGCTGGGCCACCCACTCTGCAGCCCCCGCCTCCACCCAGGAGCAGCTAAGCTCCAGCCAGTCCAAGGTCTGACCCCCTCCAGGGAGGATGAGGCACCCACCTGGCTGGTTGACAGGAGCTCTGGGTTTCCGTCACTCATCCCCACGTAGGCACTGTCACCATCAAACTAGAACAGAGAAAGAGGGAGAAGCAGTTCTGATTAAAACGTTCTCAAGAAAGCCCTGGGAGACGGGAGAAGCAGCCAGAGTGGTCAAGGGCTAAATGATGTGCTGTGGGGCCGGCAGAAGCAGAATCAGAGCCCAGGAGGCCCCAGCCCATTTCAGCCGGGCTCTCTCGAGGGTGGAAGCAGCAGCCCCTGTCCTGTGGCCCCTGAGGGCTCGGGTTCCCATCATTAATCACACTCAGAAAGAAGACAGGAAAACGCTTCTGCCCTCTATGCCTTTTCCAAAGACATGGCAGGCTCCCTTGTCAGGCACTGAGCCTCCCACCCCTGGAAGTATGTAAACACCTCCCTTGCCCAAAATGATGTCAGGTGATCAGCTATAGCTGGACTCCCATGTGCCAGTAGAAGAGGAGGCCGATATCCCCAGAGCCTTGGGACCATGACAGCCTGCCCCAGACATGCACCCCAGGGATTCCCATCCTGAGTGGCTTTGCCCCCTCACCTACCCCATCCTCGCCTCCAAGCCACTCCTGGCCACAGACAGTGAGAACGGTGGAAACCACATACAGGAACCACAATGCTGGATGAGGAGAAACTAAGCCTGAGCGGGAAGATTTTCCTACCACAGGCAACAGGAGCAGAGGGAGAGATGTGGCTCCAGGACCCCTGGCCCTCCCTGCCCTGCTGTGTGATCTTGAGCTGGTGTCTGAATGACTGAGGCTCCTCGTCTGTCAAATGAGGATGGTGACTGTAGTCCCTTCTTCATGCGATGCTGCGCTTCAGAGCACTTGACTCAACATGGCAACACCTAGATCACATGACTCAATTCCAGTTAGTTTCCTACCCGAGAGAGAGGGATCTTAGCTTCCCTAGAAGCAGAGCCTAAGGCAAAGGTTCAAATGCATGTGTACTTGAGGGAGTACCCTTTGGGCATAACCTATAAGTGAGGGAGTGAAGTAGGAGCAGCAGAGGAAGGAGAAGATAAGCCAGGTTGTGGTCTCAGCTGGCGACTCACTTCAGCCTGATCCCAAGGGGAATGCTGGGGGCACAATTATACTGCAGTTAGTTTCAGCAGGAAGCAAGGGGTGGCTGTTGCAGCCCCTATAAGTAAGTCCCCGGCCCTTAGGGGCAAGATGGTCCCCACGTGGCCAAGAACAATTCTCCAGAGAAGAGTACTGGCTACAAGCCATCTGTAGCCAGTACTCATGGTAGACAGGAGATGTCTGTGCTGGCTGGTAAAGGGCTCTAGGTGGGCACCAACAGCAACCAGACATTTTATTTTAAGTGAGCAATTTATATATTAACATGGGGTCCCCAAAACCCAGGCTGTGGATCAGTACAGGTCCATGGACTGTTAGGAACCAGGCCGCACAGCAGGAGGTGAGCGAGCAAAGCTTCATCTGTATTTACAGCCATTCCCCATGGCTTGCATTACCACCTGAGCTCCACCTCCTGTCAGATCAGCAGCAGTAATAGGTTCTCATAGGAGCGCAAACCCTACTGTGAACTGTGCATGCAAGAGATCTGCATGCTCTTTAGGAGAATCTCATGCCTGATGATCATCACCTCCACCCGTGGAAAAAACGTCTTCTGTAAAACCAGTTCCTGATGCCAAAGAGGTTGGGATCACTGTTTTAGGATACATTCACATGGTTCAAAATCCCAAAAATACGAAAAGCAACACCACCCCACTTCCCAGTCATCTACTGCTCTCCCCATAGGCAATGTGTCTATCAGCTTATTTATAACCTTTCCAAGACTGTCTTCATATACACATGCTATAGTCAGTTCTTCCACATACATGTCAAGTGCTATATGCACTGCCTTGCAGCTTCTGTTTCTCTTAGGGACACATCCTAAAGAACGTTTTATATCTGAACATAGTTGTTTCCTCTGTACCCAGTACTCCACAGTGTGAGTGTAATATACATATATTTAAATAGTTGAGCACAGGGGCAGTTGTGATGTGACACAGTTTGGATGGTTGTCCCCTCCAAATCTCATGTTGAAATGCAATCCCCAGTGTCAGAGGGGAGCCTTGTGGGGTGACTGGATCATGTCATAAATGGCTCATAAATGGCAGATCCCTCATAAATGGCTTGGTGTGGCTCTCCAGGTAATGAGTGAGTTCTTGCTCTATTATATTAGGTCATGTGAGAGCTGGTTGTTTAAAAGCGCCTGAAACCTCCTCTCTTGCTTCCACTCTCACCAGGTGACATGCTGCCTCCCCTTGCCTCCCACCACAAGTAAAAGCTTCCTAAGGCCTCACCAGAAGCCAAGTAGATGCCAGGGCCATGCAGAACTGTGAGCCAATAAACCACTTTATAAACCACCCAGTCTCAGGTATTCCTTGGAGCAATGCAGAACAGATTAATACCCGTTGTTTCTAGTATTTTGTTGTTCTGACATGGCGCCCATATTTCTGTGCATCTATCATTTGGCATGGCTGTGGGTTTATCTGTAGGATTAATTAGTATAATTGCTGTATCCACCTGTATGTGCATATGTCATTTGGAGAGACACCACCAAGCAGCTGGAGGTTGTAAAAATCTACATGCCCACAGCCCCCTTCACCTGGAGAAGATCTCTTCAACAACTGGGACAGATGCCAGTCCCCAAGCCCTGTGGGCTGAGTGCCCACCACCACTTCCATCACTCCTGATCCTCTAGCCCGCCTTAGCCTGCCCCCTCACCCCCTTTGCCTTCTAGCAGTCTCTAGAACTTATCTACTATGTTCATTGCTTAGGGATGGAGGCCCCTACTAAACAGCAGGTCCCCAGGGACCAAAGATCTTAGTCTATTTGAACGTTGATGCCCTCAAGCTTCTAGAATGGTGCCTGACATGGAGTAGATAATAAATGCTTGTTGAACTTAATGAATGAATACAGCAGCCACTACCACATTCAGAGAGTCTCTCACCAGGCCAGTCTTCCCAACCAGTTAGTGGGGTTGGTGGTTATACCCGAGAGCCTCCCAGCACAGGGCTGGGCAGAGTCTCTCGATGACTGCTGGACTTTCAAAAGAGAAGGTTTGAAGCGGAAGGATTGCCTGAACCCAGCAGGTTGATGCTAGGATGGCCGTGAGCGTGCCACTGCACTCCAACCTAGGTGACGGAGTAAGACTCCAACTCAGAAAAAAAAAAAGAGAGAGAGAGAAAGAAAAGGTCGTGCCACACCTAGAGTTTAGACACTGACTCAAATGCAGGGCTCCATTCACCACACTGCACACAGACAGGGCTCATTCTTCAAGGCCCTGCTCAGAGGCCACCTCCTCCAAGAGGCCTGCCATGTTCTCACCTCTTCTGACTGTCCCTTTTACAACACAGATTGTCTCCACATTTGTCATCTGTCTCAGAGTGGGTGCACCATGGAGGCTGGAACTGTGTCCTGATCGTCTCTGAACCGTCCCTCTCCCCCAGTGCCTGGAATGGGACTACGAACTGGGCAGGGTAGGGGAGCTTTCCACAAAATCTCCTGGGTACTACTTGCTATGTTGCCAAGGTCACTGACTACTTTGATAAAAGCAAAACTTTTTAAAAACCATGCATAAGCCAGGCATGGTGGCTCACACCTATAATCCCAGCACTTCAGGAGGACGAGGTGAGAGGATTGCCTGAGTCCACAGGTTCGAGACCAGCCTGGGCAACTTGGTGAGACCTCATATCTACAATAAATTTAAAAATTAGCCAGACATGATCCTGCACGCTTGTAGTTCCAGCTACTTGGAAGGCTGAGACAGAAGGATCATCTGAGCCCAGCAGGTCGAGGTCACGGTTGGTGGCCATCAGCACGCCACTGCACTCCAGCCTGGGCAACAAAGTGGGACTCTGACTCAAAAAAAAATGCACAAAGCTGGGCTCGGTGGCTCAACCTATAATCCTGTGCCTTTGAGAGGCTGAGCTGAGTGGATTGGCTGAACCCACAGGTTTGAGACCCGCCTGGGCAACTTGGTGAGACCTCATCAAAAAATCAAAAAATCAGCCGGGCGTGGTAGTGCATGCCTGTAGTTCCGGTTACTCGGAAGGCTGAGGCGGAAGGATTGCCGGCGCCCAGCAGGTCGAGGCTGCGGTGGCTGGGAGCGGCCACTGCACTCTAGTCTGGGTGACAGAGTGAGACTCCAACTCAAATAACAAAATGCATGACTTATAAGCATATTCTAATGGAAATAATAATTGGGAATAGAGGGACATTCAGTTTAATGAGGTGTTTGAAACATTTCATCAAACAATAGTAATCAAGCAGTATGATATAAGCTAAAAATATAGGCAGATGGGTCAGGTACAGTGGCTCGTGCCTGTAATTCCAAATCTTTGAGAGGCCAAGGCAAGAGAATCGCTTGAGCCCAGAAGTCCAAGACCAGCCTAAGTAACATAGTGAGACCTTGTCGCTACAAAAAATCATACGCCTGTAATCTCAGCTACTCAGGAGGCTGAGGTGGAAGGATCATCTGAGCCCAGGAGATTAAGGCTGTGATGAGCTATTTTCATGCCACTGCTCTTCAGCCTGGGAGACAGAATAAGGCACTGATTTAAAAAAAAAAAAAAAAAAAAAGATATATAACAAAGAAACAGAGGAAAAAATATTCACACACAAAAAATCTTTACAATAGCCACCATTTATTAAAAGCTGACTAGAACCAAGTCACCACCAAGGCGGAGGCCACCGTCTGCTTTGCTCCCCAATATACATAGTAGGCCACCAATAATTATTTGGCAAATAAATATTCCTGTCACTGAGCAAAATGGTTTATAGAAAAGATCTCATTCTGGTCAGGCATGGTGGCTACACTTATAATCCCAGAACTTTGGGAAGCTGAGACAGGAGGATCACTTGAGGCCAGGAGTTCAAGACCAGCCTGGGAAACACAGTAAGTTCACATCTCTACCAAAAAAAAAAATCTTTAATTTTAAAAGATCTCATTTAATCCTCACAATGACCCAATGAAGAAAATAGTTTTTTTCCTCTTTTGAAACCAAGGAAATGGAAAGAGGATAAGTAGTTGCC